CAGGAACATACAACTGAAATTGTTTGTTGCTGCACAATTGGAGCCAGCCCCGAGACCCTGGCTTACCTAGGAAGCAGACATGTGCAAAGAGGAGAATCTTTCTTGGAGGAGCGTGCCTTTTCACTACGGTGAGGTCAAAAGTAATAGCTTTTCCAGTCACGACACTTGCAATTTGGCTGGAAGATGTGAATGGTCCTTTCTGGACTGCAAGCTCAATAGCTGTTCACATTTACACAGTAGGTTAAAATTTATATTTAAAAAATAGTGGCTCATAAAGAAAGAATATGGAACAGTGACAACTGCAAAAAAGAAAAGGGATAATTGTATTCATGAAAAATGAACTGGTGGGTGATAACATTATTATTTTTTTTTTTTTTAGGCAAAACGTGTTGCAGCATTCAATAATGGTGTCTTTAATTAATTCTGCCTAATGTTAAAAGAATAAGGTCACCCATACCAAAAAATTGTTGAATAAAGCAAAAATGTGTGAAAGATATACTCTCTGATGTTGCTGATAATGAAGAAGTGTTATCTACTGGTCAATATACCGTCATCATTTCTTAGAGGTTTCACAGTTGAAAATAGACAGTGGTTGTAACAACCTAATGTGATTATCACATAAAATATACTTTGTTGGGGAGAAATTATCCCATGATAACTCAGAGCAAAAGCAGTCACTCCAATGAGGATTTTTTACAGAGAGTGTTCATGCGCATTGATTTTTGCCCATAAACAGATCAATGCGTGTGTGTTGCCTTAGGGTTCACAAATGACTTTCACAAACATTCTGGGGCTCACACACACCCCATTTGGCAGATGAGAAAACAAAGAATGTCCAAGGGCACAGCAAGTAAACAAGAGTTGAGTCCATGTCGTCAACCCGGATTCTTCGCCAACAGCTCTTCTGCTCTCTCTACAATAGTTTCTCTCTAAAAAACACGTTGAGAACCCCTTTTCGGTGAATTGTAGGGACAGGCACGTTGTGTGAGTTGCACAGGGGGATAGATTCAAGGAGAGGCAAGAGGTGACTTCACATCATGGAAAATAATTCATCAACATTTCTGGAGAGCAGAACCCGAGCCCTGAGCACGTGTGGGAAGGCAGAGGGGACTGCCCTGGCTTCTTCAGCCGGGGTAGCCTGGCTTTTCCCTGGACTTGGTGGCCTGGGAAGGAAGTGTATGTGGCCTCTCTCCTGTCTTGGGAACGAAGATGCGTTTTGGAGGGTTAAATAAGCGTTCCTTCCAGTCATGTAAAATACCCGTCCTTAGAAGAGTTCTGATAAATTCATTATTTCCTTTTGGTCACATCTCCACAAATGTCCCTGATATTCCACTGATCTTTGGATGCCCATCGTAGAATGTTATCCTGGACAATTGCTCCGTTAGTCTACTCTTCAGTCAAGCATTGGATTGGATGGGAATTGTTTTCATTTCCTTGTTCTCAGCATGCAAACGGATCAGCCAAGAAGTATTTATTTATGCATGCTATGGGCATAGGACTTGCGCCAGGCCTAAAACTCATTTTAATCATTAACAAAACCTGTAGCAGAAGGATACACTCACATTTGGTATTTGCCACATTATAACACGGAGAATCCACTTCTTTGCTCTTTCTTGTGACACGCGTTTATTATTTTGTTAGGCCTGGAATAAAATTTCTAGCATGAGTTTGTCCATATTCAGAGAGCAATGTGAGCTAAGAGGCTTAATATAAATTTGTGCCTTTTGCAACTCCTTATCAGTATGAATCAGAATTTTTTTCTATAAGTGCACAAATAAATTTGGATGCTGAAGTTGATAAGACACAGCTGTCCTTTGACTCCTTCAACTTAAAGTTTTCATAAAAATTTTCTCCTTGATCTACTTAGAACTTTTTATTTTAGAAGTCTGTTGTGGGCAGGAGCCATCTGTGAAAGAGTAAAACGAAATTCTGCTGCAAAAAATGCTGAAAGCCAGAAGTCCAAGGTCATCTGCTGTACTCTGTCTCAAAGAACAGAGTCGAGTATGAATGTTTTAAGGGCTTATTGTGTGGAACTTTTAGCCAGTGAAATTACACGTGGATAGCTGGAAAGATTTGATAGTTGCGGGGATTGATTGAAAGGAAATGATTGAAAAACAGGCCACAGAAAGTATGTGGAAGACAAGAACTGTTTATACACACGAGGAAGAGGATGAGGTTCTGCATAAGAATAATGGGGGAAAAATAGAGGCAAGGAAATTGAAGAATTATTGCAAAACAATAGCTGGCAATTCGTGGTGCGATAAGCATGATGTGAGAGATTGAGGAAGGAAGGCCAGGAAGCAAGAGATGCCCAGATTTTGGAAAGGACTTTTAGGAAGACAGGAACAGAGAAGTGGGAAGAGTCAGGCTGAAGTGTTACATTGTTCTCTTCCTTTCCCGTTTACTGGGTTAGATGAACAATCAAATGCCTAAACTGCACACACCCTACAGCATGGCATGAAGGAACATGTGCTTGTTAAGAGACGTCAAATCACTGTCTGGGAGGCCGAGAAAAATATAGGCTTAGGGATGTTTAAAGAATCTGATGTCTCTTAGGCTGGATACCTAGCAGAGTTTTCTTAATTTTTTTGAGTATGTCCTTTTTGTTTTTTTTTTTTTTTGAGACAGAGTCTCACTCTGTTGCCGGCTAGAGTGAGTGCCGTGGCGTCAGCCTCGCTCACCAGCAACTCAACTCCTGGGCTCAAGCGATCCTCCTGCCTCAGCCCAGTAGCTGGGACTACAGGTTGCGCCACCACGCCCGCTAATTGTTTCTGTATATTTTTAGTTGTCAGTAATTTCTTTTTTTTTTTTTTCATTCAAAGTGAGAGAGCAAAGTCTAGCTAATTTCTTTCTTTCTTTCTTTCTTTTTTTTTGTTTAAGTGGGCAGACGGGTCTCGCTCTTCTCAGGGTGGTCTCTAACTCCGGAGCTCAAAATGATCCTCCCCGCCTCGCCCCAGAGTGCTAGGATTGACAGGCGTGAGCCCCGCCACCTGGCTATGTATTGTCCTTTTTTAAACTCCAAATGCCATGAGCTTCTGCATAGATGACTTACGGACATGCTAGATTTTCACAGAGATGCCAAACGTGGACATGAGTGCCCAAAGAAGTGTCAGCCTCGCTCACAGCAACCTCAAACTCCTGGGCTCAAGCGATCCTCCTGCCTCAGCCTCCTGAGTAGCTGGGACTACAGCCATGTGCCACCATGCCCGGCTAATTTTTTCTATATATATTAGTTGGCCAATTAATTTCCTTTCTATTTTTAGTAGAGACGGGGGTCTAGCTCTTGCTCAGGCTGGTTTCGAACTCCTGACCTTGAGCGATCCTCCCGCCTCGGCCTCCCAGAGTGCTAGGATGACAGGTGTGAGCCACCACACCCAGCCTGGAGAGGTTTTTAAAAATGTAATAAACCTTGAGACCAATTGGACAGAACATCCAGGAATGGAGGCTCAATTTCAGCATCCTAAGTTCTTCCACAACCCATATACTGCCATAGTCTATGCTTGTGAATGCATATATATCTTAGCTCCCAAAGAGGGATTTTTTTTTTTTTTTTTGAGACAGACTGTTGCTTCGTTGCCCAGGCTAGAGTGAGTGCCATGGCATCAGCCTCGCTCACAGCAACCTCAGTCTCCTGGGCTCAAGCGATCCTCCTGCCTCAGCCTCCTGAGTAGCTTGGACTACAGGCATGCGCCACCATGGCCGGCTAATTTTTTCTATATATATTAGTTAGCCAATTAATTTCTTTCTATTTATAGTAGAGATGGGGGTCTCACTCTTGCTCAGGCTGGTTTCGAACTCCTGACCTGGAGCAACCCGCCTTGCCTCGGCCTCCCAGAGTGCTAGGATTATAGGCGTGGGCCGCCGTGCCAGGCCCCAAAGACTTTAAAAAAATCTGTTCGAGGCACATTGTCTAAGTGAATATTACATGGTCCCATGCAACATGCACCCAGAATGGGAAAAGAAGCCGTGTTGGTTTTAGCTTGCATTTCCTGCTTCATGGGCCATCGCTGTGTGCTGCCGCTAGAGAGGCCTCTGGAAGCTCGTGACTGGTAGCATGTTATTCCAGCTTGAGGAAAAGGTTGGGGGAAGGAGGTCTCCTCTCCCCTAAAGAGGAGACACTTGAGAGAGTGGCTTCAGGAAAGCACTGGAGGTGGCTGCTGTTTTTCTCCAGGTGTTGGATCTGACTGACGGCCCCTGTCTGAACTTCCCAGTCATTTGCCGTTTCATTAGCTGCCAGGTTTTCAATTTCTGCCTCTTGGAAGTTACACCGCTTTGAACAAGTCCCCGCAGTAATTGAATTTGCCGCAGAAATAGAACACTGGAAAATTTCATTTTCTTCTTCCCTGCATGAAGGCAAGCAAGCAGGCAGGGCACACACATACCCCTGCTGGGCTGCTTCTCTCCCTCCTTCCCTGGCTCCGGTTCCCCTCCCTGCCCCCCTCCCGTGATGCTCCCGTCCTGCTCCCCAGGCAGGTATACAGTGGCACAAAAAGGCCTGCCTTCAAATCATCTCAGAGTGCATCAGCCTGTCACTTTGTAATTTTCTTCTAAATGCCTTCCACAAATAATGGTTTTCAAAATGAGCATTAACAGGCTTGATTACATGAAATTGTCCTTTTAATTTACACCAGGATTCTATTGATCACACAAGTGCAGATTAAAGTGTTCAATGAAGCCCGTGATGAGGTATTAACCAGCTAAGGGTCCTCCAGGGGCCGCCCGGGAGGCCAGGAATATGCTAGAAGTGTACAGTTATTTCCCCATAATGAAGTGGCACTATGCGAAGGCATGAATCGCTGGCAGGAAGAATAGATCGGAGATGATGAGCTCTTCAAAGTCATTTCTCCCTCACTCATTCAGCCTCATGCTCAGATCCTCTTGCGATTCTCTTGCATTACTTGTCATGAAATGCCAGGATTTACTTAGCCAGCTGATGCAATTTTTATGACCTTATTGCTTTTTCACCATGGTAATAGTTTTGAATCAATTTATCAATCCAGCGGTGCCATCAGACATATTGCCCTGAAGATCAAGTCCGGGTCATTCCATCAATTTACTGCGGTTTACGAAGATAGAGAAAAAAGCCAGGCCGTGCAGGCTATCAACTTCAAATGGCTTTAGTAAACATGCCTCGGTTGCTTTAACGGCTTCCCTTCTGGCTCCAGACCTTCGTGCTCCTGGGCAGGACCACCCAAATCAACCCAACAGACGCCTGTTTTTGGTAGATGCAGCCCCAGAGTAAAGAGAAGGGGCCTGGGTGGAGCAGCAGCCACCGTCTCTACGAAGTTCCCAAGTAGAGTAAGGTTGGGACAGAACCTGGGAGTGTGGCTTGGTCTTGCACACAGAGTTGATGATGGCACCCAAGTCCCATAGCTTTTGTCTTACCAGCCAGGGGACTTAGAGTTGGTGGCGGGGGACAGAGGAACAGGCGTGTGAGCTGGGCTTCCTTGGTAGAAGGTTTTGTTAGCAGCGTTGGGATTCGTAATCCAATCCATCTTCTCTCTACAGGGGCTGCTGGTCAGTGATAATGGTTTCAAAAGATGAAAAACCTGTAAGTCATTTTTCACGGGATGAGATGTCACTGAGGGCAGGGCACAAAGAAAGAATAGCACGCTTATTTGGAAGAGATGATCTCTTAGGAAGAGAATGAACATTCCTTGCCCAAGGGAGAGAGGGAAGGGGTGTGTGGCAGGTGTCTGTCCGGCCATGGAGTTAGATTGCTGGTGTTTGCACGGATAAAACACTAGGTGTCTCCGGGGAATTCAGTTTAGTTATTGCATTGGCTGTATTCAGAGAATCCTCTTAGTTATTTGTGTTTTCTTTGTGTTTATGCATTATGTCAAAATTTGAAATCCTGTACAACAGATTCTGGTAATAAATTGTTTGCCAAAAAAAAAAAAAGTGACAATGAATTTAAATATGATTTAAAAATGTATTGTTTGTAAGGCCTTAATAGAGATTAAATGCATACTATCAGCTTTGTGCCTTGCTGGGAAGCTGCTATATTCAGCATTTAAAATGAGATTTGTCAGATCCCAAGCTTATGTCGATTCTATAAAAGTTTAATGATCTACTTCCAGGTCTAGCAGCATTTAGGATTTATTTACAGTCTTTATTATAAAATTTGTCCAAAATATACACATTCCCTAAAGACTTCTGAGCTCAGCAGCAGAAATATAAATGCACCAAAATGAAATATAGCAGATGGTAAAAATCTCTGTTTGCTAGGCATTTTTTTTTCCTCTTTAATCTTTTTTCCCTCATTTTACTTTTCTTCTCTATTTGGTAAATACTGAAGGAGGCAAGAGAGGTCGTTCTGTTCCCAGGGAGCCATTTATTGGAGGCTGTTGAATAGGTTGAATAATACAGGAAACTATCATCAATGCGTAGTCCTTCTCTCTCTCTTCTCCTGGATATTTAGCAAAGTAAGGAAGGGTTGGAAATCAGGATAAGAAACTAGGAACCATGAAGTCAAGGAATGTGTAGAAAAAAAACCCAGAAGTTATTTAAGCTAGTTCTTTTATTTTACAGGTGAGAAAACAGCAACATTCTATTGGAAACTTAGAGTTGGTTCGTTGTATATGACATTCTAATTACAAAACTCAAACAACTGAGAACATTTCACTGCTCAGCCTCGGGGCTGCAGGTGCCTAAACATCTTGCCTCAAAATTCCCTGACTTCCTCAAGTCCAGCGATAATTATATCCACTTCCACCGTCCTCCAAACGTGGCCACGCCTTATAACTCATCACCAGTTAAATTAGGGGTTATCAAACATTGACGTGTTCAGAGGGCTGGGAGTGCGTGTAAGAAACACACACTCCAGGCTTAGTCCCCAGAGATTCTTTGTGAGTCAGGGTGGGGCTCAGTAATCTGCATTTTAACAATCTCAGTTGATTCGAACGCAGGACTTCCAGGGTTCCCGCGATTTTGAATGCTGACTTTACTGTTAAAGACTCCATGCTTCATATGACCCAAGGCAAGTGACTAGATGTCTTTAAGCCTCAAATTACATCTGTGCAATGGGCCTGTGAGTTCCTGTCTCATAGAATTGCTCTGTCAATTTATTTGTGATTTTATATGAAAAGCACACGGAAGGCATTTCCAAAGGGAGTAGCCTTCCCGTCCCGGGCCCAGAATTTAGGTCAACACACAGAACACTATGTGACAGTTAAAAGCTTCACATCACATTTTCACAGTTGTGTTTCAAAAAAAAAAAAAAAATCTAGTTTATGTAAATGTAAAATGATCACACAAACTGAAGATAGTGTTTTCAATAATATTTAAGTATCCTTTTTGTGGAGTGAAGCAATTCATAGATTATTATGAAACAAGCATTCTATTTTAATAGATCGGTGACTTTTTTTTTTTTGAGACAGAGTCTCCTTGTTGCCCAGGCCAGAGTGCCAAAGGGGCCGTCAGCCTCAGCTTCAAGCAAACTCCACATCCTGGGCTCAAGCGATCCTCCTGCCTCAGCCTCCCAAGTAGCTGGGACTACAGGCATGTGCCAGCATGCCTGGCTAATTTTTGTTTTTTATATATATTTTTAGTTGGACAATTAACTTCTTTCTATTTTTAGTAGAGATGGGTCTCACTCTTGCTCAGGCTGGTTTTGAACTCCTGACCTCGAGCGATTCTCCTGCCTCGGCCTCCCTGAGTGCTAGGATTACAGGCATGAGCCACTATTCCTGGCTGATCAGTGACTTTTTAATATATCAGATTTTTAATAATACATGGCACATTAATGGACTTGTTAGGTCCCAAACGGGCAGCTGGGATGGGAGAATCTAAGCTACCAATTCAACCACGTGTTCATTGCTCTTCTTCCAGTCCCAGTTATTCTTTTGTTTTTATTATTATTATTATTTTTTGAGACAGAGTCTCACTTTGTTGCCCAGGCTAGAGTGAGTGCTGTGGCATCAGCCTCGCTCACAGCAACCTCAATCTCCTAGGCTCAAGCGATCCTCCTGCCTCAGCCACCCGAGTAGCTGGGACTACAGGCATGCACCACCATGCCGGCTAAATTTTTTTGTATATATATTTTTAATTGGTCAATTAATTTCTTTTTATTTTTAGTAGAGACAGAGTCTCGCTCAGGCTGGTTTGGAACTCCTGACCTGGAGCAATCCACCTGCCTTGGCCTCCTAGAGTGCTGGGATTACAGGCATGAGCCACCCCGCGCCCGGCCCAGTCCCAGTTATTCTTACGCTAAAACACACCTAGTGTCTACACATTTGCTCTGACGTCATCCTTTACCTGTCGTCTTCTCAACAGTCGACAGAGAAGATTCCCTCCCTCCCTCCCAGAGTTTCTTGTCTGTCTAATATTTGTGTGGCCCAGTGACAGGCAATAGAATTATGTGTCCCATGATTGTGGCTGACCATGAACACTGTGGGAATGTAGCTGAGCTGGAGAGTCCTGTGGGCTGGGGTGCTGAGGGGAGACCTGTTGGAGTTAGTGGGAATTGGGCTGGTTTCTGAGGCGTGGAGGGAGGGAAGGCAGGACCTTGCCCTCTGTTTGGGCAGCTGAGCTTCGACAGAGACATGCCAGAACACAATGGAAAGGTATACTGGATTGTTTGGAAAGATCTTGGAATTTTAACAAGAGCCAGAAAGATCTAATGGAATTTTAAAAGAGCCAGAAGTCAGAAAATAGTGATTGCCAAAGGAATTTTTCCCAAACCATGCTCAGTAAAACTGTTGGGTTACTTACAAGCTCTTCAGACATTCTGAATGGGTTTTATGTTAAAACTCATTTTTTTTTCTTCTTCTTTTTTTTTTTTGAGACAGTCTGCTGCTTTGTTGCCCAGGCTAGAGGTGAGTGCCGTGGCGTCAGCCTCGCTCACAGCAACCTCAAACTCCTGGGCTCAAGCGATCCTCCGCTCAGCCTCCAAAGTAGCTGGGACTACAGGCATGACCACCGACGCTCAAGCTAATTTTATATATATATTAGTTGGCCAATTAATTTATTTTCTACTTTATAGTATAATGTGTCTTGCTCTTGCTCAGGCTGGTTTCAAACTCTCTGACCTCGGCGATCCTCCTGCCTCCAGCCTCCCAAGTAGCTGGGACTACAGGCATGCGCCACCATGCCCGGCTAATTTTTTTATATATATATTAGTTGGCCAATTAATTTATTTCTATTTCTAGTATAGATGGTGTCTCGCTCTTGCTCAGGCTGGTTTCAAACTCCTGACCTCGAGCGATCCTCCTGCCTCAGCCTCCCGAAGTAGCTGGGACTACAGGCATGCGCCACCATGCCCGGCTAATTTTTTCTATATATTTTTAGTTGGCCAATTAATTTCTATTTTTAGTAGAGACGGGATCTTGCTCTTGCTCAGGCTGGTTTCGAACTCCTGACCTTGAGCGATCCTCCCGCCTCGGCCTCCCAGAGTGCCGGGATGACAGGCGTGAGCCACCGCGCCCGGCCTAAAACTCATTTTAATCATTAACAAAACCTGTAGCAGAAAGGATACACTCACATTTGGTATTTGCCACATTATAACACAGTAGACATCACTTCTTTGCTCTTTTCTTGTGACACCGATTTATTTATTTTGTTTAGGCCTGAAATAAAATTTCTAGCATGAGTTTGTCCATATTCAGAGAGCAATGTGAGCTAAGAGGGCTTAATATAAAATTTGTGCCTTTTGCAACTCCTTATCAGTATGAATCAGAATTTTTTTCAATAAAGTGCAACAAATAAATTTGGATGCTGAAGTTGATAAGACCACAGCTGTCCTTCGACTCCTTCAACTTAAAGTTTTCATAAAAATTTTCTCCTTGATCTACTTAGAACTTTTTATTTTATGAAGTCTGTTGTGGGCAGGAGCCATCTGTGAAAGAGTAAAACGAAATTCTGCTGCAAAAAATGCTGAAAGCCAAAGTCCAAGGTCATCTGCTGTACTCTGTCTCAAAGAACAGAGTCGGGTATGGAATGTTTTAAGGGCTTATTTGTGTGGAACTTTTAGCAGTGAAATTACACGTGGATAGCTGGAAAGATTTGATAGTTTGCAGGGGATTGATTGAAGGGAAATTGATTGAAGGGAAAACAGGGCCACAGAAAGTATGTGGAAGACAAGTAACTGTTTATAATACACTAGGAAAGGATAAGGGTCTGCTAAGAATAATGGTGGGAAAAATGGAGGGCAAGGAAATTGAAGAATTATTGCAAAACAATAGCTGGCAATTCGTGGTGCTGATAAGCATATTGAGAGATTGAGGAGGAACGGCCAGGAAGCAAGAGATGCCCAGATTTTGGAAAGGACTTTTAGGAAGACAGGAATAGAGAAGTGGGAAGAGTCAGGCTGAAGTGTCTACATTGTTCCTCTTCCTTTCCTGTCACTGGGTAAGATGAACAATCAAATGCCTAAACTGCACACACCCTACAGCATGGATGAAGGAACAAAGACTGTTAAGAGATGTCAAATCACTGTCTGGGAGGCCGGAGAAAAATATAGGCTTAGGGATGTTTAAAGAATGTGATGACTCTTAGGCT